GGAGGGAGGGGCTACTATATTTGGGCAAAGATGGCCGCTCCCAGACTCTGTGGTCTCAACGAAAATTATTTTTATTTTTTTATTGATTAACGACAATCTCATTAAATCACATATTTTAGTTTTAGGTTTAGTTTTCTCCTATCCATCCGCACAGGTCTGCTTAATTCAGAAAGAGGAGAAGTTGGCGACACAGATGGTGTCTGAGATGTAGAACTGAAGCCAGATTACATCATAATTCCTCTCAGAAAATTAATCTAACTTCATATAAAACTTAATTTGTAGATTACTATATTGGATCAGAAACCACAGTGTGATAAATGCTGGCGGTCCTGAGACCTGTTCATAAGCAAGCTTCATAAGCACACTGGTAAAACGGTCTAGAAATAAGTAAAAATGTCTTAAATTAAGTGTATATACCTTTAATCTGAGTAGGTAAAGGGGATAGTTTGCCAATGGAATGAGTATTTTTACTCCTAAAATAAGATAATTAGAAAATATGCACTTAAAATAAGACAATGCAGTTGTGTTTTCTTATTTGAAGTCTAAATGTTCTTGTTCCATTGGCAAAATGTATCTTTTTACCTCCTCAATCGAGGAACACATGCACCTGACTTATCTAGATTTTGATTTTTTCTGGTGCAGCTTAAATCCTAAAGTCTACACAGATTTAAACCTTTCCTCGCCATCATAATTCTCTCCCTGTTGATCACTGAGGTGAGTCATAGAATATATATGTGTTGGAGTTATTATGATTTCTGTTGTTTTTTATCATTTTATTCATTTATATCTTTTATATTGCTTTTAATCATTAGTTTTTTCTATGTTACTGTCATCAGTGGAAACATCGATGCAGGTCATAAGACGGTCAAATGTTTTGCGAGAATTGTTTCCTGTTTTTCATTTGAGAAACACAGAAGTTAAAGTTTATGACCCCCCGACACCTATTTTAAAAGTGTATCCTGAAACCAGACATGTTCCCTATCTTAAAAGTTCATGCTATGTCTATGAGATTGCGTAATCGAAACTAACGACTGCTCAATAAAAAAGCCTGCCAGCGTGGAGCAAGACGAAGATGCGCAGAGAGATCCCGAAGCTCTGTGTATTTTCCCTTTGCAAAGCACGGTCAGGAAAAATCTTACACTGTCTTTGTTTCTTTCTTTATAGGTTAAAGTTGGAAACTTAACCCTAACAATATGAATATCTAAATATGTGAGGAATTCACACTGATTACTGTAAATGTTCTTAAAGTCATATTTAAATGCCATTCTGGCTTAAAAAATGTATATAAATGTATTCTTTATCAGACAATATCGTCCCAAAAGTTAAATAAATAAAATCTGTTTTTTTTCGTTATGTTATGCAGGCCAGTAACCATGACGATGCAGATGACACCCAGCTGTACATTAGCATGTCATCAGATTGACTATGAACCCATTTCATTTTCTTTAATTGATTGTTGTGCTTTTATGCCTGTGTAAAGTTTTTTTTTCTTTTGTCTTGCCATTGTAATGTTCTCTATGACTTGCCTTGCCCTGCCTATAAATAAGACCAACATGTTCTAACTGCTTCTATGTTCAAACGGACTTACCTGTCAGGTATTCGGTCACAGACACCTGGATGGTCAGGTAGACCCAGCTTTCTTCATAGAATATCATCATCACCCACTCCCAGTCCAGAGGAAAGTCGACAGCATCAAACATGAACTTTTCGGACCCATGGATCTAAAAAAAAAAAATGGTCAATTTAGGGAAAAATTAAATATTTAATCAAAACGATTTAGACCAGGATGGACTCTTTATTTCCTGACCTCCGCCTCCTTGCTGTGACTATAAACGTTGCCATGGGAGTGAAGACTGACTGTGATGTTCATGTGTCCGTGGACGGGTTTGCCATACCAGTACCTGAGGACCAAAATAGAACTCATGAGCCCAGAGCTGATGGGGTTAAAACCACGAAAAAAAAAGTCCCACCTGGCCGAGACGAAGCCTTTCAGATTGTCCTCCCAATGGATCACATCCGGAGCTTTGATCACTACCTCAAACTTTGGCAGAACTGGAACCAAGCAGACACAGGGTTAGCGGATCAGAGGGACTGGTTGTCCTACAGGGACATGCCTGGTTAAACGTGAGGAGGACCAAACTCACCATAATGATCCACGCTGAA